CCGTCCCCCGGCAGCGAAGGGGTTAAGCCCCCAGCCTGTGCCCCGCGAGCCCTAATGAAATCCCGGCGTATTTACTTTTGTAGCTCCCGATTCATTATTGATTCATAAAGGACTGTTGACAGAGGCATCAGGGGGATGATGGATGGGCCGATTCGGAAGCAGGTTTCTTTCAGCCGAGACAAAAAGGGAAGGACAACTGGCCCCTCCGAGCAGAGCCCCGAGGTGCGGCCGCAGGACGCTCCTCGAGCCCCTGCAGAGGGCTGGGCACCGGGCAGCCAGCCTGCCCCGGGCCTCCGGGGCGCTCCGGGCTTTTCTGCAGGGAGACTGGCCAGCCAGAGCCCTTTGGCGACCTGCTTTCAGTTCGGAGGACGGAACAAGCCTGCTGCGTTTTTAGCAGGGCTGAAACACCTCGCTTCCCCCCCCCAAGCCCCGCCGGGCATCTCCTTCTCCCCTCGCAGACGTGCCGGGCTGCACGCATGTGCGCCGGCTCTGCCCAGGGCCGCCGCGGCCATGTGGAGGGGGAGGCAGGGACAGGGCGCGGAGGGAAGGGCGTGAAGCAGCACCAGCAAATGTGTAAGTCACGGGGAGACTCAGGGACAGCCGATGGGCAAAGATCTCACGAACACACGTGAACTTTCTTTTCTCCCCAAGACAGGACTAAAACGCCTGGCTTGCAGGTGTTAAGCTCAGTTTTCCCAGACTGAACTCACGGCCCCGTCCACTTCTGCTCAAGTGGAAGTGGTGGACGTGGGCAAGATGCCCTCCAGGTGCTTAGCTGCTAATGGCGAGATCGCATCCCGGTCTCCCTCCAGCTTGTGGGAGTTTCGCAAGACGGACAGGATCGGGCCCTCGGTGCCCTCCACTGTTCAGACCTGCAAGTTATTTCACGCCATTTCCACTCCAGCTCTCCCTTGCTAGGGGCTGTGCAAAGGTTGAAGGTTGCCCACCTCCCCAGAAATCAAACTGGTAGCGTTGCTTGTTTTTATTTTATTTTGGATGATGATGATGATGATCTTTAAACACACAGCCTGCAAAATTCACTAATCCAATTGGTCTGGCTTCGTTATTTATTGTCAGCGAGCTGGGCTATAGCTATATTTCATGTATGCACATAAAAAAGCCCAGGGTTTGCAATTCCAAATTTGGCTTCAGAGCGCCAGTTAAATTGTGATCTCTTGTAGCGCAGGAGAAAGAGCCCCTTCAGTGAAAATCATATTATTTTGTTTGATCTTGCAGTTTTGCAAGAGCTATTGCTAACAGCTGTACAGAGATTTGCATTGCTCAAGGATTCTCTCCCTTCAGGGCAGAGGTGACTACTAGCGAGGGCTGCTCCCAGAATTAAATGAGACACGCAGACAGGAAACACAGTTGGCGACACACGCGCACACACGCACAATACTTGTGACAGGCAATTTGTAGACGATGTTATTAACCAAACCCCCCCCCAAACACAACAAACGCACACAACTTCAGCACGTTACAAATATTTTCTTAGATTATTTCCAAAACCCAGAAAAAACTAAGACTAAACATTTTTGGGCTACGGATATGGACTTTCTGCAGAGACTGGATGTGGATACTCTTGCAATACAGTAGAGCAGTGCTCAGCGTTAGGGTGGGCAGGCTAGATGTGTTATTAGGATGAGCCAGGGCTTGCGAGATAACTTCCCAGCTGTTTTAGGTTTTAATTTTTTAAGTTGGCTAAATGCCCGTCTCTTTCTAGCAGGCTGGTTGCTTTTGGTGACTGACAGAGCAAGGTCATTGAAGCTCTTCAGGGGTATTGGTGTCAGGTTTCAGAGGAGAAAGATAAAACATCTCAGAGCTTTTTTTTCTCTCCCCCCCTCTCGCTGTGGAGCCCCATATGCAAAGAAATGAAGGGCAGGCATTTTCCGTGTCTGTAGAGTTTAGACAGGACTGTTTTGCTTAGCCATGTTACTGGAAATGGGACTGACAAGTGGGTTTGCAAATCACTGGCATTGCAAATTGCGAGGAGTTTATCTTTAAGAGGCATATATGTGCATGCCTTCCAATAAGCCTGCGCTTGTGCTGTGTCCAAGTCACAATGCTTTGCAAACTGTCAACATTTAAGCAGCTGCTATCTTCTCAGATATAACTTTCCCCCTTACAGTTCTGATCTCCTTATGTAAAATATTATTATTAATAATCATAATACCTGTTCCAGGCTCAATAAGAAATTTTATTTTCCTCCTTATTTAGACCACAGGGCTTTTAACATTAATTATAATTATATTTCACTCCATTAGGGTTACAGTAAATCTGAAGTTAAAAATCAAAACACGCTACACCACATAATGGCTTATTGCATAATCCTTCCTTAGTGCTCTGCCTAATGTAGCATTCAGTGGTCTCAACAATTCCACACTGGACTTTTGTTGTGAGCCGTGTTAGAGTGTGTATGGGTGTATATGGGGGACATGGGGGGCTCTCAGTGTTTGCTTTACTTGCTTTTTTAAAAGTGACTTAAGTGAATGGCATATTTTGAGCAGCGCATAAGTGCTACAAACCTTGCCTGCTTCTGCATTCATGGAAGAGAGGAAATCATTTCTGTCTGTGTGCTTTCCCCAGACCATCATGTTGTATGGCCGCGTTAGAAAATGGATTGCAATGGATTTGAGAGCTAAGATGCCGCAAATCCTCTGCCTTACACACAAGTGTTCCACTGAGGGTTTATTGTATTTATATAGTCTTGGTACCATACCATTGCAATAAACATATTGCCATAGTCATAGTAGAGGGAAAAAGCATGTCACTGTCAAGAAAACCGACATGCCCTTTTGTCACACAGCGGTTAATACCAGGTTTTAGAGATAGCTGTCCTTCACCTTATTTTATTTCCCCTTTTAAAGTTTCACTGTTTGTCTTAAGGCACAGATGCAAAACATTACATTTCCACTTTATACATGTGTTCTTTTAAAAGATTTGTTTAGATAAGGAAACCCATGCTAAGTGTTCTCGCTTGAAAGAAATTAAATATATAGAATGGTAAGCTGCTGCTAAAATATATAAAAAAACATTTAAATTAATAATAAGAACTTGTTCTGAGGCAAAATTCAATTTTACTTCCTATTATGCAATCTTTGCATGTAAAGTTGCTTTAATGCAAAATAGCAGCTCATCAAAAATTCTGTTTTATTGGTATAAAAAATTTATGATATCCTGAGGCATGAGGGGCAGGGAGCAAGGTAGAAAAGCTATGTCCTTTTACCAAGTTTAGTGCTTTCTTAAAAGAAACATTTCGAACTTTTTATTAGGGAGGGAAAGGCAAGAGAGTTTATACCATACCAAGTTCCTTCAGTGACAATGTCATTGAACAGCCCTGACGCAGAATCATTTAGCTGACTGCACGTTCTTTGCAGACTTTTGCTTTCACTGTGATACCATGATGTCCATATAGATATAGCACCAATATTGTTTATAAGACTGAAAATGGATGCTTTTATTCAATGCTACTGCTGGAAGGCCCTCGCGTTGCAATTGCCCTGTATAATCATAGAGCGCATCTGTGTATATGCACATACAACTATGTGCAGATTGTTCCAGCATATTGAATATCCAATTCTGCTGCTGCTGTCAGGCAAAAACTCCATAGTAGACCTGATTCACCCTCATACTGGTTTTACATTAGCATGTGTCCCACTGATTTCAAGATCATTGCTCCTGATTTGTGCAGATAGGTATAACAAGATCAGCATCAGGGCAGTTACCTACAGTGGGAATTTTGCTGGAGTAAAGACTGCAAGAAATAGGTCTTCTGGAATCTGCATTAATAATTATTAATGCATAGCTCTTTATATTGGCTTTCACTAGCAAAATCTCAAAGCACTTTACAAAGAGGGAAACAGAAGCACAGGGCCAAGGTCAGTCAGTAGGCCAGGGGCAGAGGTGGAAATAAAGCACAGTGTCAAAGTCCAACTCCAAGTCCCTGTTCACTCAGTTCAACCTACCCCTTTTCCATGCACTGTGGCTTGAAGTCGGTACGTTTGTGAAATCAGTGAGAATGCCATGAGATGCTGAGGGGAAGCTAGCCAGCATACAGTTTAGCCCTACATTTTTTGGATCCAATCCCATTCCTACTGAAACTTTGCCATTACAGAGACTAGCCCTCTGCAATATGGATGAAATTACTGATGGCAATAAATCTGCACCCTAGGATTTTGCTAAATGTTCCCCTGTTGCTTTTGTGTTGTGATGCAGATATTACCCTAAAGCCTTTCATAGAGTTCAAAGAGTAAATCTGACTAGATAGAGGTCTCTGCCATGACATCTTTCAACTCTCCTCCCCCCAATATATTTTCTTTTTTTCTATTTAAAGTTGATCAGCAGCAGCAAAAGGAAGCTGAATCTTTTGCACCTGGCTTTGCTATTCTTTATTTGCACTGCCGAGGCAAGCAATCCCTTCAAGGTCTGAGAAGAAAAGCTTTTATTTCATTCACTCTTTCATTCTTGTTAAATCACAGGCAGCCCTGCACATCATATTTAGTGAAATGCAGCACTGCTTACAATGGAAGGGACACATGCAGCGCTTTGTTGTCTGTCACCAGTGTTGAAGGCAGGGAGACCCAAATGTGTTCAGAACCTCAGAGCATAAGGCCGCTAAGTCTATTTGGATATGGTCGATTTTTCTACGCTAGTCAGCTGCAGCTTACAGTTGTCTCCATCTTTAAGTGACAGTAATGTATCTGGTGCGCTACCTAAGCACAAGCACCAAAAAGAGCTGAAGGCAGTAATGAATTACATCCACAGAACCTGCAGAACGTGAGAAAATGAGCCCATTCTACAGAAGCTGAATAGCAAAGAGGTTTTGTAACAGCAGTTTTAGAAGCATCCATTCATTTTTAAATGCCCAAATACTATCAAGTCTGGGTACCCAGAAAGACTAGACACACGTTATCTAAGCAGCACAAAATTGCGTAGCAAAATAAACCCTGGCATATCTATTTCCCAGCCCCAAGTGGTACTAGATCTCTCTTGAAAAGACTGCTGCACATAGAAGCTTGAGGAGTCACAGAGTTAAGTACCTTATTTGGAATTTAAAGAAGGCCAAGCAGAAAGAGTGGAATGAGGTAATAGGTAAGAGTTAAATCTGACATAATAAGCAGATTGTATAGTCATGTCACTCGGTTCAATAATTAATGAAGTAATTTGGATCAAACTTAAACATAGTGGCATTATCATCTTGTCTCTGGCATAGAATCTAAAAATGCTGTTTCTAATAAATCAATGAAGTCTTGTATCATTTTAAAGAAGTCTCTTCCCTAATCTGTTTCCAATTGAACTTTACAGTAAATATATCATAATTACCAGAGCTGGGTGTTTATAGATGAAACAGTTTATAGGTTAAGCTATTTTGGTTTAAAATCACTTGCATTTTTAAAAGCAAGGATATTTCTGGGGTAGTCCCTTGAAAATAAAAATACAAAGATAAATGCTGTACTTCAAGGGTTAAGCAAGGTCCCAGGATCCAAGTAAATATTTATATGAAGTGCTCAAAGAAGGGGGGAAAAATCTCAATATAACCAAATATAAATCATGGTGCTTTATGTTAGCTGTCAAATTATTCTAGCCCTTGCATTCCAGTACTTGCTCTACTGGTAATGTCGCATACAGTATATGGGTTTATGACTTGGTGCAGGTTTGGCAAGTTATTAAAGTAAATTGTATGGAGGTTTACACAGACTCCCTTCAATACTCGAAGACAAACAACCTGTTAACTTTGTGATAACTACAATGCACAATTATACAGAAAAAAGGGGATCTTTACAAGTAGAAGAGAAAAACACACCAGCTCCTTCTGTTGTGCAGAGCTGTGCATCTTCTCTCCAGACATTATTAACCCTTCAGCATTTCTGCATCTCTGTTTTCACAGCAAGTAAAGAAACTTATCGCGATGGAAACAATGGCCAGGCACCTATCAGGAAAGAACATCACACCAATGCAGGCAGCCCCTAGCTCACAGTCTTGACCTGAAGGGGGACTATGTGCTCCAGGAGTCAGATGGGTGATTTAGTTTCTCTGCTTTGCCCTAGCTCTGCTCAGTGCAGACTCCAGTCATGGCATATTGAATTATGCCTGACGTTTTTATGATGCGGACTGCTCTCTAACTTGAGACTGTGCTGCAAGAGACCACCAGCTCATTTCTCTGAGGCCCACAAATGGTGCCCACAGCAATGGCTGCCTGTCATATTTCACTAACTCATTAGATCTTCTAAAAAAATTAATCCAGGGGACTGGCCTCCCATGATATTGTTTCATTATCACTATTCTCTCCCCTTTATAGCTGAAGCTCCCCCTCTTTTTTTTTGCTGGAATTTAGTATTGGGGAAGGTGCCAGGTTTGATTGCACAGCACAGTGGCACCCTCAATATAGGCAGTGGATTGGTCAAGTTTTCACCATCTGTCCTCTCCCTACCCAACAGGTCATTCCTACACCTGCCTCTATCTACCAAGGGCCTAGAGGGGAAAGCAGTTAACTCTCTACATCTGTTACATTCTTACCTTTTTCTAGAGAGGCTCTCAAGGAAGTCAAAAAATGTGTAATGTGGACTGTTCATCCATTAGGAATTAGTTTGACCTCCAGATTCATTTCACATGGGCTACTGTACCCTGTCCAGAAGTTTGGCCACTATCTAGGTTTGGACATCCTGGAAGAGGACAGCACCCATATTCTTCTAACCAGCTTCCTAAGCTGCCCCTTTTCTTCCTTCCTTCATATGCAAAGTAGGGGGTCTTTCTCCTGGGTTGTCACAGATGGCACATCTGCAAGCTGAATAAAAAGGTCCATTTAGGTCTGTTTCTCTTTTACAAATTGACCTGCTCTGGATTGGAAAAAGAAGCTTTAGAAAAAAAGCTTTAGAAAAGTTTTTAAACTATTGCAGGAGCTGGATGTGAAAGGGGAAGAGGTAGAGAGTTTCCAGACAAGGATGTACTGCTAGAGGGGAGTTTTGCAGGAAGGCAAGGAACCCCTTCTGAAACATCTGCCAGACCAAATGAAGAAGGGGGTGGGGTGCCACTTTTTAAAACGAGTTCCCCTCACCATACACGTGGCCCCAGAGGTGTCTAAATCAGCCCTGCAAGAAAGAAAGATCTTTCTGGATCACAAAAATACTTCCTAAGTGAAAATATTCTGATTTTAGACTGGATCAGATCACACTGAAGGAGAGGTTAAAGAAAAAAAAAGTCCTAAGGAAAGATACTTCAGACTTCCACACAAGGACTTTGCCCCCACTTCAAAATTATGCAAGCTGGAACACTGTGCAATGTTCTCAATATATTCAAGATAGTTGTCAAGAACAAAGTATAAACATTTCCAGCAAATGCACTTAATAGAAGTTTGTTTGCCAAGTGCTGCTGCCTCCCTCTTTGGTTATGGTTAGGGAAGCCTAGTTTTGATTAAACAAGGGGAATAATGCCCCCCAAATGAATAGGTTTCTGTAGTCTCCCACTCACCCACCCAACACTGCCAGCATCCTGGTACACAAAGTTTATCACAGGCTTTTTTTTCCCTTTGCAGGAGTCCCTTGTTACAAGATTTGGCAGCAGCAGCATATCTCAGTTCCCAGATTTGCTTAACTGAATTTATCCAGGCAATCCAGTGAAGAGATCTGGTGAGTGACCAGCAAATACATTTTTAGGAGCCAGAGAAAACTGGCTAGAGTCTCTTGTTCTACTTAAAAAACACAACCACGTTCTACACCTGGAGTGAAATTCTACCATGGTTGAAGAGCAGGAGTTTTGCCACTGACTTTAATGGGGCCAAGATTTCACCCGATTAGGTTCCTTCTGCTAAGACATAGCTGGACTGAATGCAGTAGAGGTATATTGCTGCAGCAATTAAGCTGTAAACAGTATCTGCCTTTGCTTGAATCAGTTTGCTCCACCCTATACATATATCAGGGCTGCAGACACCTTGAGCCAAGAACCCAGGACCCCAGGGAACAGGTGTGTTCATTCCATCACTGAACTAACAACTTCATTGCAAAAAAGCAACTGTAAATGTTTCCCCAACTACTGTTGCAAGTGCAATATACCTGTAGCAAATGGGGAGGCTTACCCTGAATTAGAAAAAACTTGATGAATACAATGCTTCTGTTTTAATTAAATACTTTGCCTGATGAATTAATGGTTTCTCTTGAAATCTCAGTTGGTTTCTTTAATTGCTGGTTTTCAATAACACAGCTTTATTTCCCTCCAGACTGTATTTTCCTTTTCCGGGGGATTTCTCATGCTGAATATCCATAAGAACCCCCTGTAATAGTAAAATCCAGGGAGAGCTCCATTTCATACAGCCAGCCTTTCATCAGACTGTGATGCACTAGGGTATCACACAAATCCACACACTCAATGACCTTTTCCACCCAAGTGCCTCCTTGTATCAACATACATCCATTGTCTTCCATTACCTTTACTTCCAGAAATCTGCCCATCACCAGTTACAGTCTTCAGCAAGCATTATATAAATGCTGAGGTATGTTTCCTTGAAGATCTGGGCTCACAAAAGGAGTTAAGTCCACTTAAGTCCAAACTTCAGATCCTCAAATCTCCCCACCCTACTGTTGTTTAACCCTGGAGGTACCTCAAGTCCATAGATGCTTCAGTTTTCAGTAATAAAATTCCCCCAGGCAGCTAAAGTTCTGTTTCTGAGCCTGCACAGAAGCATCTGAATCCTAGCAAGACTAAACAGTTTAGCTCTCTCATGCCTAAGCCCTGCCAGGATCTACAAACTAGGCATTCCTTCACCTACCTTGCCTCAGGGGCTAAATTTAGCAAGCACTCTGAACACATCTATTAGAAAGGGCTTCACACAAAGTGTAGGAATCTTTTCCATTCAATATCTTTGGAACAGGGACTGGAATCAGGCCTCTCTCCATGGGAGTGTCTAATCACCAACTTAAACAGTCACGCTCAAGCTTGCTCCTACTTTCTGGCGCAACAAAATCTAAATGTTTTGTGCAAGTGGAGCAGTTTCCACAGGCTTCAGAGCCCTCCCTGCAGTTCCCGAATTGCCTAGATTTGATGGGGACTTGAATCCTCTCAGGGATGGGATGGACTGAATCCATAGTCTCCTACATCCTGACCGAGTGCTCTGAACTACTGGACTGAGGGGGCACCGCATCTCCTGTGACTGTTTTGGACATAGACAAATTCCCTCAGAAGTGGTTTGTGTTGCAAGTCTTGAACTGAGGAAGGTACACCCTGGTAGTGCAGAGTAAGATGCTACCAGAGAGAGGGATTATTTAAAACAAACCCTTATCTTCAGCATTTCCTATTAGCTAGCTTAGACAGTTTCTTGCTCAGTGTGCTGACCTTTCTGAGGCTCGTGCTGAGTTGCCCAACTCTCCCCATGCATTGTACAAGGAGCCTACATCCTCTCTCAGAGCTATGGATTTTGCTAAAGAATTCTGCAGTTGCCTTAATATCATCATACCCAACCCCTTTATAGACCTAGACCTATAGTCTTAACGAAACAGAAGATAAGGTGGGCATATATTCCCATGGCCACCACCACTAAAATACAGTTTTGAGGGTTGGTGTCCTCAGTTCAAGAATGTTGAAAAATTAGAGAGGAGTCAAGGGAAGAACCATGAGAATGATTAACACTTGCATTATGAGAGGCTTAAAGAGCTCAATCTATTTAGCTTCTTAAAGAGATGTTCAAGTGGTAGCTTGACTACAGTCTGTAAATGTGTGTATTGGAAACAATTATTTGGTACAGGGATCTACAGCAAAATTCTAGCAAGAGCCAATGACTGGAAGTCAGAGCAAGAGCAATTTAAACTCAAAACAATGCAATTTTTTAAAAAACTGGTAAGCTAATTAGCTACTGGAACAATTTACCAAGGGTTATAGTGGATTTTCCATCCTAGAAAATTTTAAAATCCAGATTTTTTTTTTCTTTTAGAAAAACGTACAAAGACATGCTCTAGTTAAACAGAAGTTTATTCAAGGAAGTCCTAAGGCCTGTTCTATACAGAAGGTCAGACTAGATGACCACAACTCTCTCTTCTGGTCTTATCTACAAAAAAAAATAAAATAAAATAATTGGCTAATAGTGGTCACTGTGAACCAGTAGGAAGCAGTGGAGAAACATACTGCTGAACTATCTGAGAAGTTAATGGATATATGAAAGTACTGGTAATCATTATGAAATCTAAAACTTTGTAATAGATTGCATTCAATTCAGCAAGAACTTTGCCATTGTTATTTTTTTCGCATTTAATTTAAAGAGGCAATATCCTTTTAAGCTTTCATTCTGCAGCAGGGTAGATTAAATTTAAAATAGAAAAGTACTGCAGAATAGATCTCAGGATGTTCAAGGCTGGAGGACAACTTAATGAAGCAGAAACTGAAATACCATACATCTCCAATAGCTTTAATTTATACAAATATTATCTTTGTGTCTTTCATAACATGATGCAGAGGAGTCTGGAGTACAGTGCTTTTCAAGATAATTTTATTCATTTTAGTACCTGGGTTTGAAACCAGCCCAATTCAAACCAAAAGGGCTATAAAGATTTTTGCTCTAATTGCTGAAACAGGCTTGCACATCTAAAATCAGTTTAATAGATGAATTTATAGATGTATACATAGGGATAAGTACCAGACCACTGAGGATTCAATTCTGCCACTGTTACTAATATTGGCTAGTACTTTCAGTCACAAGTAGCACTAATGTGAGTAAGAGTGGCAGAATCACATCTCTTAGGCTGGAGTTTTGTGGAAATGAGAAGCCCTCCTGACAAAGGCACCTTTTCTAGACCAGCAGATAGGGCTAGAAGCAGTTTGGGTATGTTGAATCTCATCTATCTGCCAGGTCAAGTCATTTGAGGTTGGCTGTAACATCAGGCAAACAAGGGCAGCGGTGGCAAAGCTTCAATGAAAAATTAAGCTAACATGCAGCCTGGGTCATGGATCTGTTGCATCTGCTAGTATAAACTTCAGGGAGAGATCAGTGAGCAACACACAAAAGCAAAAGGTGAACTTGGTACTTTGTTCTGCAGATGATAAAAGCTAGTGAACTAGCTCCTTCAAGCAGAGCCAGCCCTCATTTTCTATGTGAGCTTTGCCTACATTTAGAGTAAAAAAATCAAATGGCACCTTTTCAGAGGTTCTGATTCCAGGAAGGCCAAAGTGTTGGCGATCCACATCCCCTACACCAAGGGAGGGTTAGCATTGGTTGAGTCCCACTCTATAATCTGATGTTCGCATGATTCCCTCCCTACTTCTTTTTGGCATTTTTTGGCTGGCTCTGGGAGTGAACCTTCCAGTCCAGTCTGTAACCTTGGCTTACTCCATGCTCTCAGCTGAATCCTTCAAGTTGAATCCCAGAAGGTTTGGAGGTTCAACCACACTGCTTCATTTTCCCTGGAACAAAGCCTACCTCATAGGGCACATGAGCCATCTTTGCAATGAACTCACTTTGTGACCTTGGACAAATTGCTTAATCTTTCTGTGATTTAGTTGTACTATCAGTAAAATAGGAACAATGCCATTCCCTGACCTTCGGAAAGCACCTGGAGGCCTGTACAGGAGATACTTATTACTTGGTGTTTTATTGGTCCAAAAGGCATGAAATCTGTTCCAGCTATTTCAAACCAGACCCTGCTTCATTCACAGTGTCAGAACTGTTGAGATAAACGAGTTGTTGGAAAAATCTTTGAATAAGAGTACAGTTCATTAGCAAAGAGTACGTCTTTTCTTTATGCTTCACAACATGCATTTTCATGATTGGTTACAAGTCTGGCATCAATTCTTTCTTCATATACTGCCAACAATTTTGTATGATCTTAATTCCCACCCCCTTTATGAAAACCTCAGACAAAAAATCCATATAGTAGTCTGTAAGTGCTTGATTGACACACAGATTAATGTTACAATTAAAGAGTGTTATCAGGTGAGTGCTTCAAAAATCACAATATTTCACAGGCAGGCAGGCTTCATGACACCACTGTAAGTAGAAATACTTTATTAAAATTATTTAGAATCACCATCTATCAGCAGGAGAAACCTTGTGTTGTGCTAAAAGAATTGACAGATTGATAGCTGTGAAATGTTTCCAATCCAATAAAATATAACATTGTATTTCCAATAACAACACCAATATGCAAAGATTTATAGTGGTTACCAATTTATTAGGAAGATGATGAAGTTCTAATTTGTAAGGAACTTGAATCTATTTCAACTCCATGTTCAGTGTCCTTCAAAACTATTGCCAATCCAGTCATTTCTTTCATGAACAAACGAGCTATGAATATGCATATCAGATACAGCATGGCAAGGGTTGTACTGTCACCTTACCTCAGAAGGTCATGAACATAAATCTTCTCACACTAATAGTGCATCTACCTTAGCTAGGCACTGAGTGGCCTTCCAGTTTCCTCATGCCATTTCTTTATGCATAATTGGGTAGAAGCCCTCACACATCCTCTCCCTTATGGTTCTTGGATGAAGTATGGAAGCAAGAAGCTACAAGTTAAAAAAATGGAATTGCAAAAAGAAGAAAGAAAAGGCCAGACAATCAGCCACTTAATGCAAACCTAATGGCTATGACTTTTCCAGGAGCTTGTATTCAAGGCTAACAAATCTCTGGGCTTGGAGAAGCAATTCTGGTGCAGTTTCATGGGTGAACCAGTTAAGCTTGGTGTGGAACAGATCCTTTCCATCTCTGTCTTAAACAGTGCGGAAGTACTTCCAGCAATCTGACAATAAACTGAGATTACTGGATCGAAGGTACCAGCTATGCTTCTCGTTAGGTTGGTAGATGGTGCAGCAGGCTATCCAGTTGCAACAGTCAGAGAGGCTTGAGTTACAGCCACACCTGTTCCACTGCTGGTCTCTTTTTTCAGCTCCTCCAGTTCATTCCTTTTGCTCACCCCTAACTCTTGGCAAAATTAAAACCAATGACAATTTTTCCTTTTCTCCAGGAGAATGAACAGATAGAGTTGGAAAAGGAAATTGCTCTTTTGTTTACTCTCCAACCAGCCTCTCCTGTCTTTAACGTTAGGGAGTTCACAAGCTCAATTCTGACTTTCATTATAAAAAGTTAGGGAACGACTCCACTGAAGCTGATGGCATTGCACCAATGCAAATGGAGCTGCAAGCCTTCCCCTCTTGGTAAAAGCATATTTAATCTGTATTCAAATCCTTTCTTGTTGCATGAAGGACAAGTAACATTTTACTTTCCCTGAATATCAGCATTTTTAAGGAGAAGTAAGGTTAAAGCAGATGTGGGCAAAATAGTAGATCAGGCTGGTGGCCGGACTCCATTTCCCAGCAGCCCCTGCCAGCGTGGCTGGAGCCAGTTTCCATGGAGACCCCAGCAGCAGTCTCAGTGGAGACTGGTTCCAGCTGCCCTGGCAGGGCATGTGGCAGGGCACATTGCTGCTCAAGGGCTGGGCTAGGATCTTGCAGTGGTGACAGTGTGGTCCAGAGCCAGGGCAGAGCCATGATCTGTAGCCTGCATGCTTTGGGCAGTGACATGCAGGCAGAGGATCACAGCTCTGCCTTGGCTCCTTGCATCGGTGACAGCATGGTCTGGAGCAGGGGCAGAATCGTGATCCACTGCCTGCATCCACTGGGGCATGTAGGCTGGAGATTGTGGCTCTGGATCTTACAGTCACCACTGCAAGATGCCAGCCCAGCCCAGCCCAGAGCAGCTCCCCACCCTGCTGTGTGCCCTGCCAGCAGGGGCAGTGCTGGTGGGGGGAGGGTGGATTTGAGGGGGCTATAGGCCACCCCAAAATTCCCCATGACCCCCTATAGCCACCAGTTGCAGTGGCGGTGCTGCCACTGCCACTGCTGCCGCTCTGCACAGATGCCAGCAGCTGAGCCCACCCTGCTCCCACCTGCAGCACAGCCCCCCACCAGGAAGAAGCTGGCACTGCTGCCACCTGCCAGCACTACTGGGGGCGGTCTCCATGGAAACCCTGGCCCTACACTATCACAGTGCAGCTGCTGCTGGGGTCTCCATGAAGTCTGGCCCCAGCCATGAGGGCACGGGCTGCTGGGAAATGGAGTCCATTGCTGGCCAGATTTGCCCACCCCTGCTGTAGAGAGTCTAATGCTTGCGTATTTTTCTCTTAAATTACACGTTTTTTAAAGCAGCTGTGCAGATGTTTTCAGATAGGCTTGAATAGCAAGGACTTTTATTTTTACTAGCAGAAAAAGGAAAAAAAAAGTCTTTTAGCAAGAGAGAAGAGAAAATTTGTGACCTGGAGCAACCGTTAATCTTCAGCACAACTGGGTTTTGTCACAAGAAGCACGTGTGTGTTCTAAAGAAAGAGCAGCTCATTTGAATGGACTACTTATACATCGACCTTAACATGGCTCACTAACAAACACTCTGATAAAAATATTCTGTGTCGAAAGTGTGGACCTGATTCTGCAATAGCACCTGCCCCTGCAAAACCCCATGGAAGTAAATGAGGCTTTACACTGATATTGCAATCTTGCTGCAAGGGTCACCTTGCAGAATTGGTGCCTTCAATAGGAATTTGCAAGCTAATGTGCTAGTTGAAACAGAAATCATTATAATTAATACCATGAACAATGTATTTGCCTTTCCCTAATAGCTCTCACTGTGTAAGTTCAAGTCCTTCAACAGAGGGAAGAAGCCCAGTGCCCATCCAGTCACACAATCTAGTTCAGTGTATCCATTGGCCTCAAATCCAACCAGTGGCCCAGTCTCACCACAGCATGAAGAAAGTTTGGGGAGGTCAAACTAGGCTATTAGTTTTCTTTCACCAGTCTTCATAAACCATACGTGTCAAATACTTCCATTTATGCATTGCTTGTAAAAGTATCACACTTAAGCTGGGGTGCTATTACAGCCAACAAATCTTAGCAGTTCACAGTCAGATCTGCTGTAAGTTTTTTAAATAACTAGTATTGTAATAGGGACAGAAAGCTACTGTAAGTTTGCAATTGTATTGCAGTTTTTTGGCACTGCTAAGCAAACTTTGGTAAACTACATCTTTCCTTAAAGGAGGCACCTCATCAAGGACCAAGGGCCCCGTGTTTAACTGAACCAAATGTTGTTCAGAGAACATTGAGAACAGAGATCAGGTACAATCAATCAGTTTGATTTACCACCTAACTATAGGTAGCTGAGAAACTTAAAATTGATGAATTTTAAATTAAAAGGCCTGGCTCCAAGAGCTACACTGACCATGGAGGATGTTCATATATAGGTAATGAATGAAAGACACCTGTTGACTCATGGTTGGTAACAAATACAAATGAGAACAAGGCCATAGCCCCAATTTCGTCATTAGGAGAGGGTTCATCTCCCACATAGCTATGCTGCTAGGGATCCAGAGAAATAAGGGGCTCCAGCCCTTTATAGAAGTATTCCTTAGGACCAGCAGATCTTGGGGGTGGGGTTGAAATCTGCAGGCTCTGTTTGCCAAATCACTTTCCCTTCCCAAAAGCTTCCTAACAATCCTTTCCTTTTTACCCAGGCAGATTCCTGCCAATCTATATTTCTTCAGACTATGAGGTCTCCAGCTGCTTCTAGCCTGTCAGAGCTCTCCGGCTGATTGATTCCCCACAGGACAGTCCATCAATGGAGGTCAGGGAAATACTGAAACTTCAATGGTGTGTGAGCGTGTGTTTTTAAAGAGCCATTTAACAATGTTAACTATTTTATATAAAAAAGACTCCCCGTGAGTCATTTTTGGTAGCTCCCCTTGGCTTCTGGATTTAAATCGTTGGGGTTATGCAACCTTTGAAGTCACTCTCCTCTTCTCGGAGGAAGTGCCCAAAGCAGCTTTACTAGCATCTGGACACTTGGCCATACCAGAAGAGGCAACAGAAGCTGTTAGACACAGGACCCTTTCTTCCTACCACCAATTTGTCCAGGTGGGATACTCATCCGTGATCTATGATTTTTCTTTTTTTTTTTCCCCCCCTGGGAGTGCCAGAAACTAACAGCCGCCTTCACTTCCAGTTTATCCATCTGGTTCAAATCATATCCAGTCTGGATCGCTGGTTATTTTCAAGGACTGAAGGAGGCCAAAACTTTTATTACACAAACAACCTGGTAAGAAGGTAAAGTGTCATTTTCATGAGTTTTCACTTCAGTCTCTGGTAGAAATAGTCCAGAGTCACTAAAAAGAGCTGTACCCTGTACATGGAGGCATATTCTTCTCAAGGCAACATTCAGCATTTCTGGCAGGTCAGATTTTACGAGCAGATCAAACCTGAGCTGAAAGGATGTTTGAAATTGCTTTGCATTATAATACAGTAGGTGCAAACTGGATTTGTGTAGCAGACAGAAGGGTAGATTCTCAGCTGTGTAAACTGGTACATATACAATCATTTTACACCAGGCATGATCCTGGCTCAGAGTTTCTTCGAAAGATCTAATGAAACACTGAGCATTTGAAGCTTTTTGAGAAGGTGTTTCAAAGGCACAGAAAAGTAACCTGCTTACAGACTCTAAACTAGTGCTTTATAAGAGAAATAAACCTTCCCTGCAGGACTTAGCTACAGCTAAGATTTTTTTCCTTTTCCTGGGGAGATGGAAATAATGGGATAATATTCCCACTTTTCATATCCTCAACCACCTGCTATATTTCACAGCTGAGTGTGAAAGTTTTCAGTTAAGCCAATAATGTCCCTTTTTAACAGACAGACTTTGCTACCTCAGTCATTTTGCTGCTTACCAAGTTACATGTTGTTAACTGGTTTACCTTCCAGGATACAAAGTGGAAGAAAACTGCCTTAAAATAAAAGGAGTGCAAAGTGGAAGACTTGTCTGTCCCAAATGAATGTTAGGGCCTGTTTCTCTAAATGACAATTGTTAGTATTTGGAGGTGACAACTGCTGCCTTAATCTTAATTTTTCTTCCCTCTGTAAGATATTGCTTCACTATTTTAGCGGTGTTTCATAGTTTCTAGGGTCGGAAGGGACCCGAGTAGATCTCAGTGTTGGTGGACCTTAAACAAGAACGTTTGGGGCCTTCGTGTAGGTTTAAACCAGAACTTGTGTGTGAGGGTTTGGCATCTGGTAGAAGGATCAGGGTACTCCGAGAGCGACCTAAACCTTCCCAAATTGGTTTGTCGTCTCTTAAGTAACTGCACAGGTAAAACGTTTGTCTCTACAGACAGACAGAAAAGACTATTTGTTTTAAGAGATGCTGCCTCTCATTGGAGATACAGGCATTAAGATCCTTCAGGGAGGCTCTTCTATTCCTTTCATTTCCCTTAATCTAACCTAGAGTTGTAGACTGAATATACAAAATGGCTCCTTGAGAATCGCCAACCATCACAATGTTCTGAGGCATTTCTTGCTATTTGGCATTTTATGGAAAGACCTGGGGGTCCTTTGAACCTAAGCTTTCATGAAGTGAGGTTTTTAGCCCTTCTTGTTGTGGAAAGACTGAGGGTGACATCTAAAAGGTGCAAGTTATAAGGCCCCAAAGTGTGTTAAATTTAAACATGTCTTGATTTTAAAACCAAATCTTGGGGGGTGGGGGAAAACGAGAGGGGAAGGAGCCTGACTCAATTCTTCAAAAAAAACTTGGATTTGACAATACTGGTATTGAAACAGTTACTACCATTCCCTGCTGGAAATTTCTTACCCTTCACTGTGCACAATGATGCCTGGAATTATTCAGGTCCTCAAAAACTACACTGGCTTGGGATTTGGGGAATCCTCCCCATAAAACCATAGGAACTGGAAGAGACCTCTTGGGTCATCAAATCTAGTCCCTTACTATTTCAGGCAGTAGTTAGGTCATAGAATTATTTAAACTATTACCATACAAGCAAGTTGTAGTGAATAAAAACCTCTGTCAGACTTGCTTGTGTTGGGGAGGACACTGGCCTCTGATGCTGCATATATGTGCTGTCACTTTTGCTGCTTTGCTAACTGTGGATCCAAATTTGCAGCAAGGATATTTTGAAAGATGTTACTGAGGAGCAGTGACAGAGACATCATCTAGATTCTACCCTTTGGAGTAAATCCCTTCCCTAGCTGTGATGTATAAATTATGTGTTTTAGGACAATGATACCTTGGTCAGCACAGAAAGAAAAGGCACCTGTTCTTAATGCTGGGGGAGGAAGGTGCGGGGGG